CACCGCCGTAACAGCACAGCACGTCGCCACCTTTCAGCACCATGTCCCGCATGGCAGCGCACTGGCGCTTGGAGTGCTTCGCGAGGGTGTTGTTGTCAAGGTGCTGATGGCACCTGACGCTGTCCGCGTGCCAGAGGAGGGGGTCGCTGCCCGTGCGGCACAAGATAAGAGTCTCCGTCTCGGGCAGGGACTCGGGTCGCGTGGGCCCGCTTGGAACCGAGCAGAACGGGGGCAGCATGTACGCGCTGGTCTGCTTGTGGTCGCCCCGCTTGCACATGCCGAGTGCCCGTGGGAGCATCATCAGCTCGACGACGCGGACCATTGTGGCGTCGGTCTCGCACTGCCACGACATGGTGATGCCCTTATGCTCTTCGATGGATGCGCCAGCAGTGATGTCGCGCAGGCTCTTCGTCACCGTGTCGCATTGTTTGTGGCCCGCCTTCACGTTGGGCGCCTTGTCGTCGGCATGCGAGCCGTCGCGGCGCCGCATGAGATGAATGCGATGCGCACGATCTCCGGCAACGGGATCCCCGCGTCTGACCAGGTGCCACTCGTGACCTTGACCTGTCGGACGGCGCGAGATTTACGCCGAGAGTGCTGGCGCGGGTGCCGGTCGCCCGCGAAGCGCGCGGTCCGCGCAGTTTCTTCAGCGCCGAGCGGCCGCCGCGAACCCGAACAATCTTCTGCTTCGTCGGCGCGTAGAGAACGCCAGAAGCCTTGAGGCGCTTGCGTTTGGCCCTGTTTGCCTTGCGCGCTTTCTGCGGGCCTGTTTCACTCGACCGCGCCTCCGCTCAGCTGCCTGGATCGAGCGCTTGTTGCGGTGGGGGAAATGGCCGCCGCGGGCGCGGCTCCTGCCGCGCTCGGCGGCGGCTGGCTTCTCCCGAGCAGCGCCCCCCCATCGCGTCCGTCAGTTCCCCTCCCCCGCAGCGGGCGGTTCTTGCCGCGCGCGGAAGCATTCTCGAGCCAGGACATTTGCTGTGTATGTGCGGCGCAGACGACGACTGCGACGGAAACGGCGACGCTGATAGCTCTGGTGAGGGCGGCGGGGGCCCTCGTGACCATTTGCATAGTACCGTACCGATGTCGCCGAACATTGGCTGCTAGAGTGTTTGCGGGCGACGACGAGGATAATTTTCCAATCAGTCGGCCCAAGCGTGTACAAATCAAGCAAAACCTTGTATGTGATGGGCTACGCAGCGCGCTGGCGGCTCATTTGGAAACCAGCGGCGCGGGCCCTCTCGGCGGCGCGCGCCCCGCCATTGGCCGACCCGGAGCGGCAGCGCTGCCCGCGCATGGGTGCCCCGCTCAAGCACTTCAATCCGCAATGGCGCCGCCCGGGCCCGCGGCGCCTTCTGTCGCCTGCATGCGGGTTTCTTCCACTTGTCGGCGGGCGCGTTCGTCCTCTATGTCGAGGTGGCGCTCGAGCTCGGCCTCCAGGTACAGGTCCGCGCGAGGGCACTTCCGGGGAGGGGTAGCGAGGTCCACTTACGTGCCAGAGTCCGCCAGGGTCTGGTTGAAGATCGCCTGCTGGACCTGCGCGTAGATCGAGGCCTGCTCAGCCATGTCCACGTCGCCGAGATCGCCTCCGTGCCCCGAGGGGGCCCTGGCGCCGATGGCCAGGCGCTTGCGAGGAGGCGACGTCGGGTCAACCAACTCGCTGCTGTCCTTCTGTTTGCCCTCGAAGAACTGCTGCTGCATCGCATTGCAGATGGCCTTTTGCTCGGCCGCGGCCGCAGATGGTCCTGGCAGGCCGCTCGAAGAAGCCCTTCCGCTGCCTGGACCGCCCACTGGTAGGGCCACGACCTCTGGCTGGACGTTGTGCGCGGGCTGCCCGAAAAGCGAGGTCCCGCGGGTGACCGACGCGGTACGCGCGCCGTCGCCGCGCATCAGGCGCTTCGCGGAATTCCAGAATCAGTCCGTCTTCTTTTTGAAGTCGGGCGGGTAGTTGTTCGGCGAGGTCGGGCCGTCTTTGCACCTGCCGCAGCACGCGTGCGTCTCGGGCAAGTAATTGAAGAGGTCAGGCTTTGACTTCTGGCTGTATGAGTAGAAGGGCACGACCCCGCCCTCTGGGAACTCATCGGATGCCAAGCAAAAGTGCACGCGCGTGTCCGTGGTCACGACGACGGGGGCCTCGCGAGCACGGCTTTCATGTCCTCTTCCTTTGTCGTGTGCTTCAAGGAGGGCACGGTGAGGTTCTGGACCTGCTCGAGCGGGACCTCCATGGCTTGTCTTCGGCGCCAAGCTGCCGCCAACCTTTTCCCCAACACGTTATCGCAACTGTTGTTCACGGCCTGGAAGGGCGCCCTTGGGGCGAACGTGCTGGGCCCCCACTTCGCCGGCAGGGTTAAGGCGAGAACCACTTTCGAAAAAGAGCTGGCCTCTATCCGTGAAGCTGTTGCAATTTTCAAAACGAGCGTGCGCGGCGCTTAAACGAGAACCGCATTTGCAAAACCAGCCGCCCTCCATCTGTCAGTCGTCTGCGTATTTCGAAGACGAACGTGCGCATGCACGCGGCGCTAAACCGAAAGCCTCAATTCGAAAATGAACCGCATTCCACCTTTGAATAAGTTACAAAGTTTTTGGCAGAGTGGGCGTGGATATAATGATGTAGACATATTATGAGAATTGGCCGCCCTCCATTTTTGAGGCCTTTTGAAAAGTTTGAGCACGAGTGCGCGCGGGGCTGAGGCGATAATCGCATCTTGCAAACCGGCTGCCCTCCACCTGTGAAGCTGCTGCAGATTCCAATGTCCAGGATCGGGCACAGTGAAGAAATCTCGGACGACACGATCGGCACGACCAGCGCGTCGTGGGGTGCGACGGAAGTGTTGTTTATGAAGAAGAGGGGTGGAGCAGCAGGAGGAGGAGGAGGAGGAGGAGGAGGAGGAGGTCGGAGAAGAAAACAATGTTTCGGAGTTACGCTTTGATTTCTTGGATCAGCGCCTGGCCCCCCTGGCGGCGCGCCTGTGGCGCCGCCCCTGGCGCGCCCCGCGCGCCAGGGGAACAGGGTCCAGCACCGATTTCGGAAATCGGCCCATCTCCAGGCGGGCCAGAGTCCGCCCAGGATGCAGCAGCGCTTCTGCAAGACACCCTCCCGTCCCGAGTCCCTTCCTCATATAGTCGGCCCGGATTAATAGGTCGACCCTGCCAGCTCAAGGGTACCCTTGTGTCATGTGCCTCGTGACGCGTGCCTCCTTACACTCCTATGGCGATGTGGCCCTCGGAAGGGTCTTGTGTCCTCTCGCGTGTCCTGTCCAATCAAGGCCGACTGTAAGCCCCTGCTTCTTTCAGCGCTGCAGGTAGAAACGCTCCCTTGAGGCGAACACCCTGTGGGCCTGCCATGCCTGCGAGAGCCCCGTTCGCGAACGCATGCTAGTTACATTTTTTCCACGGGATGCTGCGTAAAACGCAATAGGTGTGATTGAAAGTTCAGCTCTGTGTCCAGCGAGAGAGCTTTGTCTTGAACCGGAGCTGCCCCATCCGTGTAACCGTTGCTGGCTGTTCAAGTCGAGAACCCCACTTTGAACAATTGCGCGCGGCGCGAAGGCGAGTGCCCCATTTTGAGATGGAGTGGTGGTGGTGATGACGAAGAGGAGAGGGAGGAGGAGGAGGAGGAGGAGGAGGAGGAGGAGGAGGAGGAGGAGGACGACCGGAGGAGGAGGAGGAGGACCGGTGTAAACCAAGACGCATCAACGATGTTGCACAGAGTTCTCCCTCCACGTTCCCTCTTCACAGGTCCCTACAAGAATCGTTTGTCATTGCTGGACGTGCCTCATTGCAAGACAACCGTCTGGGAATCCTTAGTCGCGGCACAACGAAATGCCTGGGACGTCAACGCTGAGAAACAGTGTGACAGTTACGCCCTGACAGTCTCACATCATCGCAGAACACAACACCTGGGACTGCAGCGCCCTGAGTCAACGCCACTTGTGCGTCCTGATAGTCCTAAATCGTACCAGAACGCCTCTCCTGTGACATCACCCATACGAGTCCTTCAAAAGGTTGCAAACTCCGAAGACGAAGGTGTGCGGCGCTAAGTCGAGAACCACAGTTTGAAAAGGAGCCGCCCTCCATCCTCAAAGGGGTTGCAAACTTTAAACCGAATGTGCGCGGCGCTAAAACGAGAGTTTCATTTTGTAATCGGGCTGCCCTCCATTTTTGAAGCTGTCGCAAACGCTTGGCACGAATGCGCGCGGCGACAATGCGAGAGCCACATCATGAACATTTTCCGCGCTCCAACAATGAACATGTTGCAGTTTTCAAGCTTCGGTGTCAGAAGCGGTGTGGAGGTCTCAGGGGAAACGCCCGGCCGGCCCTGCTGACACGCCTGGGGGTGCGACATTGAGGAGTAATTTATAAGGGAAAACATGATTGAGGAGGAGGAGGTGGAGGAGGTAGTGAAGGAAAGCAGGCAGGGAGAGAGGGATGGGGCGGAGGGTGAGGAGGAGGATGACAAGGAGGTGGAGCCTGGAGTCTTCGCTCTCGCTGCTCTGTCTTAATTACCTGATGTCGGGCGTGTCCCCCTACAGGGGGATTTTCGACGAAAAATAAAAAATACTCCAAAAATACCCCCAAGAGGTCAAAAATATTGAAAAAATAGTCCCCACACTATTTTTTTGGATTATTTTTTGATTTTTTTTGGGTTATCATTTTTTCGTCGAAAATCCCCCTGTAGGGGGACAGGCCCGACGTAAGTCTTACCCCATATTCCCTGCACCTCCTCGCCCTGCACTGGCACCGGCAACCACGCCACTGGTACCTGCCAGGGGTATCCGACCGACCGTCCGCACGACCAGGAGGTGCAGGCCCCCCTTCCCCTCGAGCTGATCGGTGGACCACCCCCAACTCTTGGAGCGGTCCCACAAAGTAAGTTGGCCGCTCGACACGTCATATGCACACAATGTGCGTTGCCGCGTGCAAGTCTCTTCATCCGCGGTGCGCGTCTGCGGTTCCCCCTCCGCAGCCGCTCTGGCCCAGGGCGCCTCCGCAGCGCGCGCGAGCGCGCGTGCCCCCCCCCCCCCCGCGGCGCCTCCGCGATGCCGGGCGCCGTCGCCGGCGGGCGGCGCCCGACCGGGAAGGAGAACGACCCGGAGCGGGCGAACGCGAGCAGGGGTCAGTTCCAGGCGAACAGGGGGAAGACTCGCCGTCGTCGTCGTCGTCGTCGTCGTCGTCGTCGTCGTCGTCGTCGTCGTCGTCGTCGTCGTCGTCTTCGATCCGACGTCGTCGTGGATCCGTCCGTCCGTCGTGCCGCTGACCAGTCGTCGTGTCGCTGATCCGTTGTCGTTACCGATCCGTCGTCGTCGCTGGTCCGTCGTCGTCTTCGTCATCGTCGTCTTCGTCGTCGTCGCCGTCGTCGTCGTCGTCGTCGCCGTCGTCGTTGTCGTCGTTAATCCCAGACCTCCATTTATTGACAAAGCATGGTGCGGAAGTTCTTGTGCCGCGTGTGGCCTTTGGGGGCCCTTGCCAGGCGTCCGGGCGGCGTCAGCAAAACGACCCAGGATGACGAGCCGGCCCCAGGGAGAGGGCCTGGGCTTCCATGGGACCCCGTATCTATCGTGGAAGCGTACGA